AATGCCAGACCACTGGATGCCGAACAACTGGAGTTTTACTGTTTATTGTATTTTTGAGTGATAGATTCTGTACCTAGTTAACTGATTAAACAAGCCATAAGAATTAGGTAAGTTAAACTTTTTTCTTTTTCTATCAACATCCAACACAGCAAAGAGTTTAAGAATTTACTTATCAAATCAATTTATATTAAACGGCATAGAATCTTTAAGAATGATGAATTGCAAAATGAATTATTTAAGTTACTAAGCAGATGATCCACTCAGCCATATTCACATCTTCTTCTACATCTTTTCTCCCAATAAGCATTTTTCCTTTTTATGTTTGTTTCTTGCAACTAGGCCCTTCATCTTTTTCTTACACTGCTTATACTTGACATATTTTCCTTTTTTATCAAGGGAGCGAATTACTTCAAAATATTCCCAGAGAGGGTCACTCTTATGCCCAGAAGCCATGACAGTTTTTCTGTGGCAAAAGTGTGGGGGAATATAGAAAGCTGTGTACTGAATAATGTCTTCCCTTTTTCTTTCTAGTCCATTCCTTTTTATGCTGCCGTCGTCCTTTCCTATACATTGTGGCTGTGTCTACGCTAGCAAGGTTTTTCTGAAAAATCATCTGATTTTCCGGGAAAACTTGCCAGCTGTGTACACTGGCCGCTTGAATTTTTGGAAAAGCACTGACGATCTAATGTAAAATCATCAGTGCTTTTCCGGAAAAACTATGCTGCTCCCGTACGGGCAAAAGTCTTTTTCCGAAAGACTTTTGCCCAAAAGGGCCAGTGTAGACAGCATGGTAGTGTTTTCTGCAAAAAAGCCCCGATCGCAAAAATAGCGATTGGGGCTTTTTTGCGGAAAACCGCGTCTAGTTTTGCCACGAACGCTTTTCCGCAAAAAGTGCTTTTGCGGAAAAGCATCCTGCCAATCTAGACGCGCTTTTCCGAAAATGCTTTTAACGGAAAACTTTTCCGTTAAAAGCATTTTCGGAAATTCATGCCAGTGTAGACGTAGCCTGTATGTGTTTAAAACAATGTCTTAACTAACTCCTCTGTCATACTTGGCCAAGGTCCATCACCGCGTAATCACAGAACAAACAATCTTATGCAGCTTCTGTCTTTATTTGCATGTTACTTTTTAGTCTGCTGAGAAACAGAAATTGAAAGTGCAGAACTTCCAAGAAGCAAGAGCTAGTAGTTAGGCTGGAATGAGCCATTAATTAATTTTTTGGAGACTGTAAGTGTAGGTGTAGCATGTTTTTTATAAGATTTAATTGTAACTGTTATTTTAAAACAAAATTATTCATAATTTAAAAAAATAAAATGTTTTGATTTTTTTTTAAATCATTGCTTTTTCTTCACCTTGTTTAAAATATGGTTTCCCACTTTCTGATTTAAATCAAAGATAAAATGGAGGATTTAAACCTCTTTAATTTAAATGAACCCACCCTGAAAAATCTCTTTTGAATTATGTAAGGTTATTGCATTCATATTGTTCTCATTTGAGAGGTTGTATGGCTGATACTAGAAATCAAAATCATGTAGCGAGCAATATCTCTAGTCTTTCGTGTGTGTGTGTGTGTGTGTGTGTGTGTGTGTACACATGCTGTTCAAGTATTTAATTCTAAATGGAGTGTTAACCTGTTGAAGTTACCAGTATAAGAAAAGGTCTGTAAAATCACCATTTGTTACTTCACATCCATACCAAGAGGTTAAATTTTACCTTTAAAAAAAAAAAATAACATTAATTTTATTTCATAGGACCTAATGAGATTAATATGGCTATGGGAAGTAACCCTTATGGGCAACCAGGACCATCTAGCCAGCCAGGATCATGGCCTGATGGTATGCTTTCCATGGAGCAAGGACCTCGAGTGTCACAAACCAGGTAGGGTTTAAAATAGCTGATGAAAGCTGTGTTGCATTAATATGATCACTGCTACTGCAAGAGTTTAAAAAAAAATGGAATAATATTTTTTCAAAGACATGACTGTCTGAACCCCTTAAGCATTTCCAGAGATTTTTGTTCCATTAGCAGTGGGCATCAGCTGAAATAGAAGATTAATCAAAAAACGAGTGTGTGCTCTAACGGAACACTAACATCACATTGGACAATATGGTGTATAGAAGATTTTAAAATGATCTGATTTAACAGCTTTCAGAATAATGTTCAACTTTGTTTTAATAGTTTTAAAAACTGTTTTTCTAATCACACGCATATTTTATATATGAAAATGTAACATTGCCACATTAGAAGTTAGGAGTGAACTTCTAAAGTTATTTTCCAACTCTCTCTGAAAATTTCTGATGTCTTGCTGTCATGGATTCATAACTGGTAATAGTTGGATTTGATAGTCTTCTCCATTCTAGTGCATTCAGAAGTCGACTGGGAGTGAAGACTCCAGGCTTGTCTGCATCTCAGCTTGCCATGAACTATGTATTTGTGTAGACAAGCCCTTCGTTTCCATTTTCAGCACTGCTATTGACTCATCGTGACATTGTCTATGTCTGCTAAACTTTGTCTTAGTTTGCCCTTCTGTCCTATGAGTAATACCCATTTCTGTGAAGGTGCTTGTATCCTCAGATGACATATGCTACATGAGAATTATGTATGTTTTTATAATCAGTTATTTTAAACCTGTTGCTTTATAGACAATTACTTAGAAGTTCTTTGGATGACTTCTTATGTCCACTTCCTAACATAGAAGGCCAGAGTGATGAAAGAGCTCTTTTAGATCAGTTGCACACATTGCTGAGTAACACAGATGTCACAGGACTTGAGGAAATTGACAGAGCATTAGGAATTCCTGATCTTGTAAATCAAGTGAGTAACCAAGAGTTCAATCATTTATTTTCCTGCTTTTCCCTCTAATATTGGTACAGGCAGTCCCTGGGTTACGTACAAGATAGGGATTGTAGGTGTGTTCTTAAGTTGAATTTGTGCGTAAGTCGGAACTGGTACATATTGTACCCCAAGTGTCCCCGATTCAGCCGCTGCTGAAACTGACCAGCGGTTGACTACAGGAAGCCCAAGGCAGAGCTGATTTGCCCCGGGCTTCCTGGAATCAGCCGCTGATCAGTTTCAGCAGCAGCTGACTTGGGGACACCTGGGGTAGAGCAGCTGGGGTGCTGCCAGGTT